TTGTACTGTAACTAGGTGAATGCATGGAACAGCAGAGGATACTGAGGCACAATTGTTAGGATTAGTGGGTCACCGTGGTATGCAATCCAGGTTGACAAGTCTACTGATGTTGACAAGAAGGCATCAATGCTTGTTTCTGTCTGATATATTTTTCAGGAGGATGTGCATGAGGATATGTTATGTGTACTTTTGTTGCCAACCAACACGACAGCTGCAGAACTATTCAAGTTTTTGAATGATTACATGTCAGGAATACTGAATTGGTCATTTGGTGTTGGTATATGCACAGACAGAGCAGCTGCCATGACTGGACAGCTTTCTGGTTTCACTACCCGGGTCAAAGGGGTCATTTCTAAATGTTGAGTCTATGCACTGTGTCATCCATAGAGAAATGCTGGCTAGCTGAAAAATGTCACCTGAATGATATTTTGCAGGATGTGACTAAAATTATGAACATGAAAGTACCTGCCCTTAACTCACATCTGTTTGCACAGCTCTGTGAGGAGATGAAAGCAGAGCACACACATCTTCTCTTAGTGAGATGGCTTTCTAAAGGCAGATCACTGGCTAGAGTTTTTTAGTTACAAGAGCCACTCCAGAGATTTCTTTTAGAAAAACAATCACCACTAGCAGCACATTTCTGTGACACAGAATGAGTCACAAAACTTACTTGTATGACACATTCAACCTGCTCAACAAACTCAATGTGTCACTTCGGGAGAGATGGACAATTGTGTGCAGGTCAGCAGATAAAGTGGTTGCATTCAAAGACAAATTGAAATTATGGGAGCAACAAGTGAACACTGAGATTTCTGAAATGTTTCAAAAATCAGCAGAGATTTTGAAAGAGACTAAGCCAGGGCCTTCTTCCTCCCAGCTGGTGCATGATCACCTATTTCAGCTTTCAAGAGTTTAAGCATTACCTCCCAACCACAAAAGACCCCCAAACTGGGAAAGAATGAATCCACAACATATTTGTGAATAAACCAGGTGAATTGGCTTTGTCCGGGCTAGATCAACTGCTTCAGATCACAAATGACAGTGGGCTTAAAAGTATGCTTGAGACAACTTCAAATATCCATACATTCTGGATTAAAGTCAAGGCAGAATATTCTGAGATTGCCGCAAAAGCACTGAAAAGCCTGCTTCCATTTCTAACTTCCTGTCTTTGTGAAGCAGGTTTTCTGCAGTGACAGCAACCAAAACCAGATTAGGGAGTAGACGGAACATAAACAACACATTTGTGTGTCACTGTCTCCCCTCACCCCCAGATGGGACCGTCTAGTTGCAGAAAAACAAGCTCTGCCTCCCACTGATTCTACATTATGCTGAGTTGTATAATTATTTCATTACATACTACAATGTAAAAATAATAAAAATAAAGTGCACAATAAATGTAACATGCTTGAACCATCCCAAAACCATTCCCTCTCCCAATGGTATGTGGAAAAATTGTCTTCCACAAAACTGATTCCTGCTGCCAAAAATATTGGGAACCACTGGCCTACAACATATAGGCTAGATGTTTTACATACATATTATCTCAACATTACAATTACTGAGAAAGAAATTTCCACTGTTTCACAAATAGAATATAAGTCTCGGAAAGTTTTTACATCTAATAAATAATAAGATCAAAATTCAAATTAATCTGTTAGAATCCAGTGAAAGTCTAAACTTCATATACAATAGATCAGAAGAGAGATGCAAAGTTTAACAGTTACAGACCAGTATTGGTAGTATTAAAATTATCTTTAAAAAAAAAAGTAAATCAGAAGAGGGGGAGGTCAGCATTAAAAGCATAGGAAAAGGAAAGTATCAAAACAATGGCAGCATTCAAGCATAATCCAGGGAAGAAGACACCCTTAACTGAGGACCTAACCCATTTAAACACTGTAAAAACACTGGCCTAACAGCATTAAATAAATGAATCATTAACTCTCTCTTTCTAATTATAGTACATAATCAGCCAGCCACCTTCTAGCTATTATGTATCTCCCTTTACAGCTTGGTGACAGGAAAAAAGCATTTTAGCCTAGAATGTGAATGTTAGGTACATTTCCCATCGTAAATAGTAATTTGGCACCCAGATGTTGACACATCACTTCCATGTGAGCTTAGTATCATTCAACCAATCACTTAACTATATACTATTGCCCAAGCCCCATCAATCCAGAGTTACAGAAAAGACCAAATAATTATGAGAACCTGGGCCACACTGAATTTACCACAGTAAAGACAATCTATGAGGCTTCTTGGCAGCCAGTCGAATGGTGTTCCCAAGCAACACACTGACCTCAAATGCACCTTCTACTCTAACTCCATCAGCATTTATTTAGCCCTTCAGTGAAAGTCCTAAGAGTTCTATGAAATTTCAAATCTACCCTTCTTCTTCAACCCTCTACCTATCTCAGTGGACAGAGCATGCATAGTGATAAAAGAATGGAATTTGGAGTAAGGCAGACCTAGGTTCATTATCTTGACTCCACCATTAACTAGCTATTTGACTCTGGACAATTACTTAAATATGAGACTCTATTTTCTCATAAAATGGGCTAAACACCTATGTCAACAGGCCTGTTGTAAAGATCACATGAGATAATTCATTTAGCAAACGGGTTGCTAAATGTGACAGACACACTGTGCTAGATGATGGACACTGACAAGTATTAACTACACTCCCTGACAAATAGTAGGCATTTGGTAAATGCTACATTATTACTACTGTATTTCATCAAATCTAGGATGCCACTAATAATAACATACACCATTATTTTATGTGCTTCTAAGAACTAAAAAATGTCAGCCAATTAAACTATGGGATAGCGTTTATTATAAGACATAGCCCGATTTCAGATGTTAAAACCCGAAAAAAAACACATATTAAAATTGATTAAATAAGGTATTAATTCAACTCTTCATTATCTTTGGCTATGCTGTTTAGTTTTCCTGTCTTTGGTTTTGCCCTCTCCAAAGTATCCTCCAAAATCTAGATTACACATCTCACTTTGCACTAACCCCTCTCCCAATCTCTTCTTTAAAATACTTCATGCTTCACACTAGCAAAATGTTTAAACTTCTCAGAACAGTATTACAGCCCCTTCACTCTCACTCTCAGCTCACCTTCCCAACTTCACCTTACCAGCTCTTCAACATATCTAAACCAGACTGCATTAACTATGTCTGGATACTTCCACTCATCTTTGCCTCTGTTCTCTATTACTCTATCTGCCTAGATTTCCCCCAGTGCCCTTTCCCCTCTAGACTATGTGTTAAAATCATACTCAATATCTAGTACCCAGTTCAAATACCACCTCTGAAGATCCTTCCAAGATAAATGTCTTTGCTCTCTAGGGTAAAATCAATTGGCCATTCCTCTATAACATAATCCTAGTATATACTATGATCAGGAGCCACCCAAATTAAGAACTACTCTAAGGAAAGAACTCAGTCTTACTTATTTTATTTCCTGACAGCCTAATCCCAAGTTAAGAATTCAGTGTCTCAAATATCTGTGTCATATCTGTGTCTGAATTCTGGTTCTACCACTCCCTAGCAACATGACCTTGGGCAATCTACTTAACCTCAGACTCAGCATCTTCTTATAATGGGTATAACAAAACCTACCTTACAAGGTAAGGATTAAATGTAAAATGCCCGGCATACCAGAGCACTCAACAAACATTAGCTGTTGTTATTATCATCATTACTGTTTCATTATTTAAAAAAAAAGAAAAAGAAAGAAAGGGGACATTCAGGTATACTTAGTAAACTGGTTTCATTCATATTCTTATCTTCTCTACCCATATATGCTCTGACTTTGGCTTGGCAACTGGGGTTATAGGTAGAGGATATACTCTTCATGTACAGGTAATACATGTAACCTGTGCTAACATTCAAATACAGGTATGTTACAGAGGAATGAGGTCAATTCATTTCTAAACCTTCCTGAGTCTTACTTTCATTGTTACCTGACCCCTCAAGCCTCACCCTAATTCCTTAATCCTATCTCCTCACTCAAGATAGGGTTCCACTTATGACCATATACCTAAATAGGGCAATGCCTAACTTTCTTGTTATTGGGTAAATAATAACATCATTAATATACCCAGTCTTTTAATTGGCATTCACAAGAACTATTTTAGGTTGTTAATGGGATCTAATCGATTAGATACAGATGAATGTATTAATGCAGACTGAGTAATCATTAACAAGAACATTTAAATCCCTACTGACTCTTACAAAGAAACTTCATTCTTAAAATTTTAAAGCAATGTTTATACAGTGATGATAAGCCTTAAGGTACAGCAGTAAGCTGAAAGCCAATATTCTTATATCAAGCTCTGCTATCAGCTAGTTGGAAGACTCTGACCAGGTATCTTGGCATCTCTGCTCTTGATTTATTCATTTATAAAACAAAGGGGTTGAGAAGTTCTCTTTCAACTCTTAAAAGGATTAAAAATGACATTTTCACTAGAAAACTGAAAAAAACTAAAATTAGGCACTAAAAACTCAAGCAACTCACTTAAGCCATTCAGACATACTTAAGAACACACATGCAAATTTCACCTCAATTTTTAAAAAGAATATACAGAGTCTATAACTAAGGTGAATACAAGTTACAAGTGACAAGATTTACTTGTCAATTTACTTCACAGCCACCCAACTGTTCTCACCCGGTTTTCTTACCCTATACAAAAAGGTTAAGAGTGATTCATTAAGATAGGGAAAATATTAGTGAAAAATTAACAAAGCCATTTTCCATAAAAACCTAAACTGGACAAACTTGAAGAAACAAGCTTTGAGGCTCACTTTCCAAGTCAAAAATACTCTTAGCTAATCATTACTTAATATTGTTAAGCTCTGCAGAAGAAATAATTTTAATAGGAAATTTATTGCTCTTACTATGTGCCAGGCATTGTTCTAAACACTTTTCATATTTTAACTCATTTAATCCTCACAACAATCCTGTAAGTACTATTATTATCCCTGTTTTACAGATGAGGAAACTGAAGCACAAAAACAACTTGCCTGAAGTCACTCAACTAGTAAGTTAGTGGAGCTGGAATATAAACTCAGACAATCCGGCTTCAAAGTTTTTTCTATGTATTATTAACATACTAGCATATTATATAAAATAAGGAACAATAAAATGAATCAGGGTGATTGCATTAACTCTGCCACAAACCAAACCATACAACCTGAATCGTTTAATCTCTTGCCATTTGGGCAAAAAAGGAAATTAACTAAATAATCTTTAAAGTTCCTTAAGCCACTCCAACATTTCATGATTTATGATCCAGAAGCCAAACACCAAAACTGTGACATAGCAAACAGCTATGTCCATGTTAGTCTTCCTCTTTTTACCCTTATCACCTTACCTCCTTACCTTTTTCTTATGATTCATCTTCATAAGTTCCTTTATTTACCAGCTGGCTCTCTAGTAATAGTTACACTGACAACCTTGAAGGAAATATAATTTAACAGAGGTGAACACTATCCTACAGACTGCATTCTATTACCTCCAAACCATGCAGACCAAGACCTGGGATTAAAAATAGCCCAGCCATTACTTCACTGGGCTATAGAAAGGTCAGTGGTGCTTGAGAACAGGTCAGACCAGGCCTAAATGTATGTATGTATAACTGAATGGATTTATTCATTTTTCATAAAACAGTAGGATGTAGGAATTAAGAGCATGGGCTCTTGCAATCTCCACAATTAGCTATTCACAATTAGTATCAACATAATCAATTACATGGCTCCAAGATTCAGTCTCAGCCCTGCCCGTTCCCGCCCCTAGAAACAGAGCTAACAACCTAACAGCTTGCTATAAGAGATGTTTTTAAAGAGCTTACCACAGTGCCTGATACAGTAAGTGCTTAAAAAATAACAGCTGCTGTTACTGTCATTACTATTGTTATTTACAATTTCCGTACAAAAGCAAGAGCTCCACATCTGATTTGATTTGATTTCAAATTCTGGATCCATTTACTTACCAAGTATATAGCCTTAAGCAAATTACTGATGTCTGTAAGCCTGGGTTTCCTCATCAGTAAAATGGAGATAATAAATCACCTATCTTACAAAACTGTTGTGAACACTGAGATAACATATGTAAAGCAGCTAACACCTGGTCTCTAACTGCTCAATAAATGTTAATTCCTTTCTCCTTAATGACAAGCTTCCCAAACTTCTGCTAATTCAATTTAGAGAAAGGAGAGTGGAATTAGGGATCAGATGAGATCCAGGGAAGCCAACTTTCTTTTCTCTATTGTCCTTGCTCTGCAGCAGATATCAGACACTCTTCACCCAGGGGACTCCTTTATCCTCTTCTATGTTTGATAAGACCAGAGAACCTTTTTTCAGGCTATCTTCAAACTTTCTTCTGGAAGAAGTCCAGTGCTCCAAGGCAGTAACTCTCAAAATGCTTTTGGATCCTCAAAACCCTTTCAGGGAAACCAAGTAGTCAAAACTATTTTCATAATACCATAACTTCATTTGCTTTTTTAACTCTTACGCTTTCACGAGGATATAAAGGAGTTTTTCAGAGGCTACTGCTATGTGATGCCATATCTCTGATGGCTAGTAGAAGGTGTGCTTATACACTCATGTTTTAAACATTTCTCAGTTTTCATTTCTAATACAGTATATGTATCATGGACACTGGAATCCTCAATAACTGTTAAGAGTTTTTTTTTTTTTTTACAGTCCAGAAGTCTTTTATTTTTTTTAACACCTATTATGCCATGAATTCACAGGGAATAGGTTCCAGCAGCTCAGGCTCCTTCCCATTGGTTCTCACAAAGTGTGCTTCTCTGGGTGGAACAGGCTGTCGCTTCAGTTGGACCCAGGTACCTTTCTCTCGGGCTTCCTTCTTTTTCTGATCATTTTCCTTCACACGTTTTAGGAAGCTATCTCGGCTCTTAGAGTGCTTGATGTGCTCAATACGCACATTAATTCTCTTGGCAAGAATCTTGCCCTTAACTTGTTTGTTTACAACAATGCCAACAGCATGCTGGGTAACATTGTAGACTCTTCCAGTTTTGCCATGATAACATTTGTGGGGCATTCCTTTTTGAACAGTACCCATTCCCTTGATGTCTACAATATCACCTTTCTTATAGATTCGCATATATGTGGCCAAAGGAACAACTCCGTGTTTTCTAAAAGGCCTAGAGAACATGTATCGAGTGCCTCTCCTCTTTCCCTTTGTGTTAGTCATTTTGGCGAATTACTCTGCGGCCACAAGGTAGCAGTTCAAGTCTGTCAAACGCTTAGCACCCAGGACAATAACTGTTAAGAGTTTTAAGTGGTCCTGAGACCAAAAAGTTTTAGAACCACTGAGACTCTAAGGTATAAAAAAAAGCCCACAAAGCACATGGATTACTCTATGAATTCCAACTTTGCCAAATTTAGCCTAGATAAGTAACTCACACAAAAATAACCAAGAAACTTCCCACTTTTCTCTATGATTAAATTTCAGTCCTTCAATCTTCAAAAAAAATCACTTGTTCATTAGTTATTTACAAATAGTCAGTGATAAAACTGGATTTTAGGATTTATATCTGATTTCTGGTCCAAGGTCTTTCTAATATAGCAGGTCATCCTCAATTAATAAGAGATGACTGGCCGGGGGTGATAGCTCATGCCTGTAATCCTAGCATTTTGGGAGGCCAAGGTGGGCAGATCACCCAAGGTCAGGAGTTCAAGATCAGTCTGACAAACATGGTGAAACCTCCATCTCTTCTAAAAATACAAAATTAGCCAGGCGTGGTGGTGAATACCTATAATCCCAGCTACTTGAGAGGCTGAGGCAAGAGAATCACTTGAACCCAGAAGGCGGAGGTTGCAATGAGCCAAGATTGTGCCATTGCACTGCAGTCTGGGCAACAAGAGCAAAACTCCATCTCAAAAAATTAAATAAAAATAAAAATAAGAGATGACTACACTTTCTTAATATATTAAGCCTCTCGTTACACAGATTGTGAAAATTTTAAGTTATGTTTACAGTAAATTAATTATATTTTCCTTTGACTCCCTAGCAAATAAACCATTTTTGAAGGGTTATTGTTTTTTGTTTTTTTCCCAGACGAAGTCTCACTATGTTACCCAGGCTGAAGGGCAGTGTATACTTTAGTAGAGACGTGATTTCACCATGTTGGCCAGGCTGGTCTCAAACTCCTGACTTAAATGATCTGCCTACCTTGGCCTCACAAAGTACTGGGATTACAGGTGTGAACCACCGTGCCCAGCCTAATTTTTAAAAGATTTTCTGATCATACCACACTTGCTTGGTGATGGGAAGAAATAGGTGACTAGCAGTCTGACTAAACAAATGAGACTGTAAAGGGATATAACTTAAGTTATACAAAAGTAATTCAAATTTATAAATAACCATGTTCCAAGTCCTCAATCTTCAGTCCTCCTTTTATACACCATGTTTTAATTTTGAAAATACTATGTTGACTGAAAGACAAAATCAAACTCAACATACACACAAATTTGGTGTGTGTGTGTGTGTGTGTGTGTGTGTGTGTGTGTGTTGGTTTTCTTCTGCTATTTTTAAGGTACTGAAAGCATTGAATGACAAAAGAGCCTATAGCAAAGAAAAACTTCTGTAAATTTGTGGAATGAACAAATGATTTGTAAGGTATCTGTTCATGAGCTTTCTCTGCTGGCTTCTTTCAGCATTTACTAGATAAGGAGAGGACTGAAAAGGCTAATACACTGGGCAAGAACCCGGGTGAATGCTGACACTCTCTCGTTCCCAAAGGCCACCTCAATACCAGGCAACCCACAAACTAGCTGTGGTTAATCTGTACAAGTTGGGCAAAGTCTTCCAAATTTTTATTATGTCAAATCCCTATTTTTAAAGAAAGTTTTATTATGTATTTCCAATATATGCATATTTATTAATTATACCCATCTATATCTGTGTACAATGTAAAACAAAATTGTTTAAAAAAGAAGTTTTAAAAAAATGACACAAGAATAAAATAATTTTTACCTTTCATTTATGAAATAGTACAAAAATATTTTTGATCTAAGAAATTATCAATAACAATGCCTTTAGAGAACCTAACTGGAAAGTTTCATTATTTTTTTAAAATTTTCTTTAAAAAAACAAAGAAAAATTTAAACAAATAAAATCTTAACATTTTATGATACAGCATTTCAAAGGTCTAGTTCAAAGTTCAGAAATGATTTTATTTTAAAACTTAATTATAATGGCTACAAACTAAAAAACAGACCTCACGAAGGTAAGTATATAATATATATACTTAGGGTCAAGATCACTGTGACTGACAGTAAACGTAAAACCATACTTTAAAGAGTTAGTTTAGGCCAGGAGTGGTGGTTCATGCCTGTAATCCCAGCACTTTGGGTGGCCAAGGCAGGTAGATTACTTGAGGCCAAGAGTTCAAGACCAGCCTGGCCAACATGGTGAAACCCCATCTTTACTAAAAATACAAAAATTAGCTGGGTGTAGTGGTGCACACCTGTAATCCCAGCTACTCAGGAGGCTGAGGTATGGGAATGACTTGAACCTGTGAGACGGAGGTTGCAGTGAGCTGAGATCAGGCCACTGTACTCCAGCCTGGGTGACAGAGTAAGGCTCCGTCTCAGGGGGGAAAAAAAAGGAATTAGCTTAATGATTTTTAAATTTTTGGCAAACTTCTTGTCAAGTCTACTAAAGTATCATTGTTTTTATCTGTAATTTGGCTGCCAAAAAGCTAGTACCAGAAAGTAGAAACGTCAGCTCTGTCATTTTCTTGTTGTTCACTTGTGCTTGCATTATTGGTATTATTGTTATGGCATCTTTACAGGAGTCTTTTTAAGACGTGTATTTCCTAGGGGTGGATTTAGCTAAAACTAGATAAAAATTTACAGATTTATTTAACTACACACCCATAACTGGATTAATGTTTATCTGCAAAAGTGAACAAATAAGTGAGAAAGCCACTGGCAATCCTTCTGTGTTCCTCTGAATATCTGTGTATGACCTCCTTAGCAGGAGTATTGCATCAATTCATTTATTAAATACTAGTAAAATTTTATTTCTTCCTTTTCTAATGCATAAAAGTGATTAAAATTAACAGTTCTGTCTCCCCTTACTTTTCATTTTTTTGAATGGAGTCTCCCTCTGTTGCCAAGGCTGGAGTGCAGTGGCACGATCTCAGCTCACTGCAACCACCACCTCCCAAGTTCAAGTGATTCTCCTGCCTCAGCCTCCTGAGTAGCTGGCACTACAGGCATGCACTACCATGCCCAGCTAATTTTTGTTTTTTTAGTAGAGATGGGGTTTCAACATTCACCATGTTGGCCAGGATGGTCTTGATCTCTTGACCTCATGATCCGCCCACCTTGGCCTTCCAAAGTGTTGGGATTACAAGCGTAAGGCACTGCACCTGGGCCCCTTAGTTTTCTAATACTGTCTTCTCTTACTCCATGGGAGTTTTAGGTACACTGCTTTGGGGCCTACACCTCAAATATACCTGAAATTCCTACCCAGCACAACTCAAATCATTCTCTTAAATGCTTCCCAGATTAGGACTGAATTTGAAGCTAGGACTAATTTTCCATTGTCAACCCAGGTCAAACAAGATTCTTAGGTTCCTATGATCTGGGCCTTTAACCAAAACCTGATCCAAAACCAACCTTCAGGGATAAACAGACAAGTATAATCTTTCCAGGATACTCTCACAAACACACTTAAAGGTAATGAAGAATAGTTATAGCTTCCTGTTTTTACAACATTCATTCACTCACTTAAGAAACATTTGTAAATGCCAACTATCTCACTGACGCGATCATTTACAAGTGTTACCTTAAATATACTATACTATATTTTCATTTACAAAAGTGTCTGAAAGAAAAAGTGTGGTTTGTGCCCCATCGGGTGGCCAAACTGGAAATTTCAAACAAGTTACAGCAAGGCAAGTTAACCCTACCTAATCAACATAATACCTTTGGGAAACTGAAGCCTGTAACACGAGAATTCCCATGAGAGAGTTCTATAAATGAAAATCATAATAATGGTATGGTAATTTTCCTTATACTTGAATACAAGGGAAGTATAGTGCATGCAGAACCTCTCTTTTCCAAAATCCTGCAATAAAAAATTAATTCATGACCATCTCTATTTAGGTTAAATAAGAGAGTTTCATTGGGTTAACATCTTATTCACAGATCAAAATATCATCAAACATTTTTGAAAGATATTATTAATTTTAAAGGACGGTATTATTAGTCCTGTAAGTTCTGTCTTCTTCATATATCAAACATAATTAAACCATTAAAAAACACAGAATTTTAGAGCTGGATGAGTCCTTGAATAATATGGGGTTGTGAGCTTAGAAATCAAGTCCAATTCTCTAACATTAAGGAAACTTAGATGTTTCTTAGCTAAAAGAAAACATGATTTCATCAGGATCACACAGTGTGACCTGACTCTCAAGGCTTACATGTGCTCAAGAGACATACACACATATTCCTAACAAGTGGCTTAACCCCTCTGGACCTTAGTTTCCTTGTCTGGAAAAACAAGGTAGATAATCTTTAAATTCCCTGTTAGCTCTAAAATCCTGTACTTTAGAAACCTTGTTATTTTAGTATCGTACAAAACAATGTATATACTGGAAAAAAATCATTCCTGGGTCCTGAGAAACCAAAGAAATACAGGGTCCTAGAGAAAGTCAGCAACCTAACACACCAAATATATTTGCTTCCCTTGCTAATATTCTGCAAAATATTAACATGGTCATACTAGTCCATTTGGTTGAAACCAGTCTCAGTTAATTTTGATTAATCAATTGCAGAGCTTTAAAATATATAATCACTAATTCTGATTTTTTTTCAAAAAGCCCTTATAAAGATTTATTGATGTTCTATTTTATATGCCAAGATTGATACTAAAACAGATTACTGGAAACAGAAATAGTCTCTGTTTGTTTGTGATTATTCTTTGTAAAAACTACTTACAAGGGGATTGAATATATTTTCTTTCTATGGCTTCTCCATGCTGGTCTATTATTTTATGCTTTTATGCTTTATTATTCTGCCTATGAAGACAATCTATGTACACCACAACTTATTTTTAAATTTAAAAAATATAATAATTTTCAGGATATTGGTGGGTTATTACCATCAATAATTTTAACAATTCAAGGAATAAAAACTATTAAAAGTTAAATCAAAAACTTATAAATTAGACTGGGCCTTGAAAAGCTCTGGCCCCTATATACTTAGTTAATGGAGGAAGAAAGAGCCTGGGAAAGGCAAAAAAGATTGTCCCAGGTCTCATGGCTAACACATACAAAAACTACCATTTATTATGTTACCATATATACATATTATATATAATTCAATATGATTATAGATGTAAAACAAAATTTTCAGAGTCTAATTCTCTGCTTATTTCAAGTAATATTTAATATAGCAAAATGACACAAAAAACAAAGAAGCTGAACAGTTCATACTGATTCACAACACTAGAAAGCACCCTAGGCTAGAAACCAAGGGTAATACACCAAAATTTCACCACCAGTGCTTGAAAAACAAATCCTAGCATCTGTTCTACTGACAGTGTTTAAAGAGTATCATCTTCATATGAAAACCTACAGTTTAATTCATTATGAAAAGGTCTTTTTCCCTAAAAGGATGTCCTTTTTCCCTAAAGTTTTAAACTGCTAAAATTCCTGGACTCTATAGACTCTTATTTACATCTCTCTATTACTTTTAAAGGAATAGCAGCAAGTCTTCAGAAACAATACACAAAACAAAAATTCCAATCCTATCAAAAATTCTTTGACTCCAATTTACAAAGAAAGGTGTCCCTTATTTAATTTTGCCTACTAAACGAGTTTATCTAGGACAGGAGTCATACAGTAGGAACTCTCTGCAGAATCAAATTTCAATTATCCACAACAAATGAATTTTTCAAAACATAATTTATAACTGGCCTGAGAAAGATAATGCAGACACAACTCACTCTCAGAAATTTTGCACCTCTGTGACCAACCTACCGTAAATATTTATGAACAGTACCCAAGTAGACTATGTGAATGAGGAGTCCCAGAATCACTGTGGTTCCTCCAGCCACAAAAGTGACATTTACAAATGAAGAGGGTTCACTCTCAAACTAAATTATGCTTCTCTTTCCAGTCCTAGGTATTGCAAATTAATACAATTCTATGAAATAGTTAAATGTTGAAATACTTAAAATGAATCATAGCATACATCCAGCCACTAGTACTTCTGCCCCAAGCATTCCGTGCTTTATAACAAATATAAGATGTGCTTCAGCATGCTCCTGTCCTGTGCCTCTATGAAGAACTGGCAGTGGTGCTGAAAATTACTACTAGAAAGATGACAGACCAATACCCTTCTTTCAATAAAAACCATCATTTGGACTCCAGCCAGGGTTTTAAACCCGAATGTTATTAGAAACAATAAATCAACTCTGAAGGCTGAAATGTTAGTCCCTTATTTCATTCATTCTTACAAAACACCGCCACAGAACACTGTAAGAAATTAAGTGACAGGAAAGAATTATTAATTCCTGGTCTTTTATTTCTAGCAATAATCAAATACTCTAGGTTACAATATTTCACAATATTCAAGATTCTGTCTTCCTCAATATCACAATGGCTATATGAATAAATGCTATTGCCCAAACCTCCTATCACTAAACTTATATGAAAATTAAATGGGGAACTAAAATAGTTTAATTCATAAAATCTAGCTAGGTTATGTGTGTTCATATTGATTTTATATTCTTTGTTCCTGCACACAAAATGAATGAATTCCTGGAGGTTACAGATAAGTCTGTCTTTCTCTATCCAGGAGCTGAACTGCCAGCTACTGAGAATAACCAATTGCAATGCTTAAAGCCTCTTAGGTATCTTGTCTTCTGAATATATAAATGGGTTCATTATCTTTACTTTTCCCTGTATTAATGTAAGATTCCTTACTATCTATTAAATCCCTTCCAGGAGTGTTAGCACAGAAATTGAAAGGGAATGGGGAGCATGATTTCTGTAATACCCAGGTAAGGTATATTGTTTACAATATACCAATTTTCTCCCCAGCTAGCAAAAACTTAACAGAAAATATAAAAATGTAATTATCTTCCCTCCATTCCAAAACAAGAGGCAAAAACAGATGTTATTACTCTGTAGACTTCATGCAATCAGTTAAAAAGAGTCTTATTATCAACGCAGAATAGTTGATTACAACGTGTTTACAAAAACTATAACCACTGCATATGTGATACACACTTAAGTCAAGTTTCAACCCCGTTACAAAGCCTTTGTCAATAGCGGGCAAGTGAGAAAAAGCCGAAGGGCTCTGTGGAATGAAGGAAATCACTGGAGGGGCTTCTCTTGGAAGAGGATTCCCTGGTGAGAGGTGAGGAGAGAGAAACAAGACCTAACCTTGGCGAGGGGGCGCTCTCCCAGGGTGGGGACGAGAGGTCAGGGCGAGTGGGGAGAAGGGGATTAGCGTGGAACTGCCGCGCCCCGGAGCTGCCCTCGCACCGCGACTCCCCCACCTGCAGCTCACCCTCCCACCGTTCCGCGGCCCCGGCCCGGGCTGCGCCTGTCCTCCCGGCCCTCCGCCTGCATATCCGTTACCCCGGCGGCAGCGGGGCTGCGGGGGAGGGGAAGGGCAGCAGGGCCAGGAGGCTGCCGGCCGCGGCGGGGATGCCGCAGTGGCTCCCCGCGGCAGCTGGTCAAAGTCTGCCCGGGCATAGTGAGGCAGCCGAAGCGGAAGGCGGCGGTGGACGTCAGGGCGACAAGGTGGCCCCTCCGAATCCTCCCACACCCCGGCCGCTGCCAGTACCTCATACTGGATGTATTGCTTCCTCCACTCGGGAGTGATGTGCGCAGAGAGGTGCTCGGCGAACTTCATCCTGCCGTCTCCCCCTCACTCCCACTCGGGTCCAGCAGCTACAGGCGGCGGCGGCGGCAACAGCGACTCCGACTCCTCCCCACATGGGCCCAGGCGCGGCGCGGCTCTGCGCTTCTCTCCTCCTCCGCCGCCGCCGAGGTCTCTTCAGAGCCGCCCGCCCGCCATCTTCCTCCTCCTCTCCATAGCTCCGCCCCTCCCCGCCCTCTAGACGTCATCGCCATGGTAACCGCCTACACCGCCCTGACCAAGGGGGTGCTGTAAGGGGTGGGGTTTGGGTACGTTTCTTAAGACTCCGCCCCTTATGGGCTGTACGTGCTCAGGCCCCTCCCCGGACCTCTTCAGTCTAGCTCCTTGGCCTATAGCTGCTGCTCTACCGCCGGCCTGGGAAGCAGCAGTGTTGTTATTGCAATTAATATTAATACCGTAGCAACAATGATCCACACAAGACGTTTATGTTCACAAAGAACTGTGGAAATATTTTCCGTTTTAATATTTATTCTTCATAAAACCTTTTGGCTTTTGGTTTTGGAATCAGGACTAATCCTAACTAAGTTGCTAAAGCAGATAGTTCACGACTAAATAAATGTATTTAAAGGAACAGTATTTTACATAATCTAGGTGCTCAATAAATGCTCGTTGAATTTAATTAAAGACATCAATGCCAAAAAGTGCATGCTGCTTATGACTTTCAGTGTAATTGTCTAATCCCGGGGGCTATCAGAAAGACCATTAAAAACACCAAGCGCAGGTACCAACTGCAATTGTAAACTGAGCTTCCTAAGGTTGGGGGTGAGGGTTGGGAGGGAAAACAATGTTCGAAGGAAAGAGAACCCCCTAGAAGTACAGCTCTAAGCCCACCCCAGTATACCAGAAACAAGCCCAGTGTCCAGGCTGAACTGTCCCTGGGAAACATGGGAAGAGTCACTCATATAGCTCTGTACTACATTGAGTGTGGGAGTGATTGTCTTGGAAGACTCGATTTAAGACAGAAACCCAGGTCCTGCCCTGGGTGGAGGAGACATAATAATTTATTGAGGACTCACTGTCCCTGTACCGAGTACTGTTCTAAACCTCTTACATGTACTTTGTCCCTTAATTCTAACAATTGTTTTTCAGTCTTGCTCTGTTGCCCAGGCTGGAATGCAATAACACCATCATGGCTCACTGAAGCCTTGACCTCACAAATTTCAGCAATCCTCCCACCCCGGCCCCCTGAGTAGCTGGGACTACAGGTGCACACCACCAGGCCAAGCTAACTTTTTTGTTTATTTTTGGGAGAGATGTGGGTCTTGCTATATTGCCCAGGCTGGTCTTGAGCTCCCGAGCTCAAACAATCCTCCCACCTAGGCCTCCTAAAGTGCTGGAATTTCAGGCATGAGCCACAGTGGTCAGCCTAACCCTCACAATTTTGATAAGACTTCAAGATTTACTATGGAACTACTATGCCTGGGGCAGTATTCTGAGATATAAATCTCTGCTGTAGTCTTTTGTTTCTCCATGTACTTTTTCCCTTTCCCTTCCCCTTAATTCATGCCAATAGGGGTTCTGCAATCATTTCCCCAGGAGACAGATGACAGGAGATGGAAAATAGACATAGGCTATGAGTCTTTCTGGCTTTTTCTGTATAAAAGCCTTTACCTCTGGTAAAGGGTAATCAGGGTCAAAAAGAAAGAGAGAAAGAGAGAGAAAAAGGAAAGGAAGAAAGCAAGAAAGAAAAAAAAGAGTGAGGACTCCTCTCACTTCAGACCTCCCTCTGCTCACCATAAATATTCCCCTCTGCTGGAGGTAAACCTTGCCAGGAGAAAGAGACAGGCAAAAAGGAACGTCTGTGCTACCAGGAAGGAGGCAAGACCACAGAAAGGAAATGGCTGTATGTTGCACCTGGGAAGAGGGAAACAGGGACAGCTACAAAAGAGATTCCTATTCCTGGGCCTTCAGCCAGTCATGGACTAGAATGGTAAATTCTTAGTAGCAACCCTGGTGGACCATGGCACGTTGCTCCCAGCAGCACCTACACACCTTAATTGTGCACAAAATTCTGGAACATGGCCCAACCCAAGGAAGTAAGAAAACCCTCAAAACTCTCTCTAAAAAACAATAATTCTTGATTTTTCTCATGCCTGATCCAGAGCCCTGCCACCCAGGACATGACAATGTTAATTTATCCACAGAAGTAGATTTAATAATAAATTTCCTACCAGGCTCAGTGGCTCACGCCTGTAATCCCAACACTTTGGAGGCTGAGGTTGGAGGATCACCTGAGGTGAGGAGTTCAAGACCAGTCTGCCTAATATGGTGAAACCCCATCTCTACTAAAAATACAAACATTAGCAGAATGTGGTGGTACACACCTGTAGACCCAGCTACTCAGGGAGCTGAGGTGAGAGAATCACTTGAACCAGGGAGGTGGAGGTTGCAGTGAGCTGAGATTGCACCACTGCACTCCAGCCTGGGTGACAAAGCAAGACCCTGTCTCATAATAAATAAATAAATTTCCTATTCCCAGCATTATTTTTGGATGTTTTACTGATAGAATCATCAAATACTTAGTATTTATTGAACACCGATTCTGATTTACTCTGAATCAGGAGAGCCCCCCACTTAGACTTTCTTTTGTGAATAGGCAAACAGCCCTTCATTAACAAAGCTTTATTGAGACCTATGATATTCCAGTCATGTCACTTTAGGAATGAAGGACAGTTCAAAAATAAATAAGACTCTGTCTTTTCCTTGGAGGAAATCACAATTTAGTCAGAAAGATGGATCCAGGTGTGGTGGCTCACACCTATAATCCCAGCCCTTTGGGAGGTCGAGGTGGGCAAATCATTTCAGATCAAGAGTTCAAGACCAGCCAACATGGTGAAACCCCATCTCTACTAAAAATACAAAAAAAAAGAAAAAATTAGCCAGGCCTGGTGGCACATGCCTGTAATCCCAGCTATTCAGGAGGCTGAGGCACAAGAATTGCTTGAACTCAGGAGGCAGAGGTTGCAGTGAGCCAAGATTGCGCCACTGCACTCCAGCCTGGGAGACAGAGCAAGACTCCATCTCAAGTCTCAAAAAAGAAAAGAAAAAGATGGGAAGATAGACCAACAGTTCTTAAACTACCATGCGATACATGTTATAATTGAGGTATGTGTAAGGAAACAAACATCCAAGGATCAGAGAACTGAGTTTGAAATCCAGTCTTAGCTAACTATCTGACAGGGAAAAGGACACCCCAAAGATCCCAAAGGCAAAAAGCAAAAAGTCAGAATTGTTTTTGTTTGTTTGTTTGTTTGTTTGTTTGTTCATTAGTTTTTTGAGATGAAGTCTCACTCTGTCGCCCAGCCTGGAGTGCAGTGGCACAATCTTGGCTCACTGCAACCTCCGCCTCCCAGATTCAGGCAATTCTCCTGCCTCAATCTCCTGAGTAGCTGAGATTACAGGTGTATGCCACCATGCCCAGCTAATTTTTGTATTTTTAGTAGAGACAAGGTTTCACCATGTTGGTCAGGCCGGTCTCAAACTCCTGATCTCATGATCCACCCGCCTTGGGCTCCCAAAGTGCTGGGATTACAGGCATGAGCCACTGTGCCCGGACCAGAATTGTTAAATCACAACAGGTAATTTTCCAACCAGAGTATCCTTTAAAGCAGCCAAATGTCCTCTCTCAAAGAAACTGTCTGAAATGGTTTGGCTGTGTCCCCACCCAAATCTTATTTTGAATTGTAGTTGCCATAATCCCCATGTGTCTTGGGAGGAACCTGGTGGCAGATATCATGGGGTCAGGTTTTCCTTTGCTGTTTTTGTGATACTGGATATGTCTCATGAGATCTGATGGTTTCATAAAAGGAAGTTCCCCTGCACACACTCTCTTGTCTGCCGCCACCTAAGACCTGCTTTTGCTCCTTTTTCACCTTCTGCCATGATTGTGAAGCCTCCCCAGCCATGTGGAACTATGGGTCCATTAAGCCTCTTTTCCTTTATAAGTTATCCAGTCTTGGGTATGTCTTCATTAACAACATGAAAATGGACTAATACATTTCCCTGCTCTTGCCCCTTGTCTCCCAGTCTGGCTCCCACATCACCCGAGTGCACTCCCCTTACTGTATTGTCAATAATAATTTGTATCAGACTATGAGGTCCTTGAAGACAAACTGCTCATCTCTTGTTTTCTCCAATTTAGCACAGTGCCTGGCACTCAGGCATTCAATCGAGGTTAAAGGAACAAAGGAAAGGAGGGAAAGAGAGGGGAAAGGAAGAAGGAATGAGGAGGCTACATGGAGGAAAGTTGTAGGAAATAAAGTTAAGTTGCAACAAGATCGTGAAGGAATAGTTCATGGCAGCATAGGCAGCGTGGAGTCTTTGAAGAAGGTTAAACAGTGAGTGACTAACTCAGGTTTGGAAAAGCAGAATAGTGTAGCTTCCTGGTTTGGAACACTAGTTCTTGGGAGTAGACAGGCCTGAATTAAAATCTCAACTCTGACATTTACAAACTGTGTAACTTTCAGCAAAGTGCACTCGCTCTTAAAGCCCGGTTTCCTCATCTCTTAAATGGGTATTATCACACCTCCCTCACATGTTATTTGGAGAATTCAATGAGATTGCACATATAAAACACTTAACATAGTGACTGGCCCCTGGTTTAACATAAAAATTAGTAGCTCCACAAAAACATCTGTCAGCAGTCTGAAGGATGGACTAGGGTGAGGACAAACCCAAGACAAATCTATTAACAAGCACCCGTGTAACACATGTGCCAGGCACTGTTCTAGGCACTTTACAAATGCAAATGTAAAGCTTCACAAGAACACTAAGAGATAGCTACTATTGTTATCTTCATTTTATAGATGAGTAAAGTCAGACATAGAGGTTAAGCATCTTACTCAAGAGCACCCCCCTAGTAAGTGGTAAACCTGGGTGTGAACCCTGGCAACACAGATGTAGAGTTCTTGCTCTTGAGTACTGTATGATGCTGACTGTGGATGCAACAACTCCAGCCAGTCGGGATCATGGACAGAAGGAGGCGTGGCATGTGACTCTAACTCTAGTGACTGGGTAGATGCTGTTGCCATGAACTGAGATGAGAAATGAAAGCAGAGAGCAGGTCTGGGGCACTATGAGATGTGGCAAACATGAAGGAATCAATGGAACATGCAGTACTCCAGTTGGAAAGACTGATCTAGAGCTCTAGAAAGAGAAGTTAAGACTGAAAGCTGAGGAGCCATTTACATTTAAGTGATAATTAAGTCTGGTAAATCTGCAGAGAGA